ATGATCACTTACATTTCCCAGGCTGACTTTTACAGCACCCAGAGTAGGGGGTTCTCACATCTCACAGCAGTGCACATGTACTGCAGAGAGGTGGAGAGAGTGATGGTTTTAAAGCTGAGAGACGTGATGGTGGACAGAGAACAATGCCATGGTGTCCCGCTGCTCTGAGCAAATTACAAAGAGGCCTCTGCAGAGGTCGCTGAGTTTGCACTCCACCAGACTGTATTACTTTATGGTTCAACTACCAGAGGAGAAATCTGGCCCGGTGACTCTTCTCTTTGAATCTGTGGGGACGTAAGAATCTGAGAAATGAGCGTTGCAGTTTTTTTTTTAAGTGTGCTGACACATTTCTATTTCCACTATAGCTGCTGCCAATGCGTCGCTATTTTTCACCAGTATCTGCTTTTTTAAAAAGGATTTAAGTGGATTTTTCCTTTAATTTGTCTTTCTGGGGTTTTTCACGAACAGTCAGGTTTTCCTTGCTTCTTTTTGCTCGGAGAAAAGAAAAGGAATGACCTCAGCTGTGTTGGTATACGATATTCTCTTATTCAATGCTTTTCTTTCATTCCTCTTCTTTTCCAGCCTCTCTCTCTCTCTCTTTCGTTTCTCATCTCATTCCCCCGCTCGGCTGCTGTGATTGCCTGTCTCCTCGTGGCCCGGTGCCCAGCCACCACTGGGTAGCATTCCTCACCCCGAGCCAGCGGGGTGGGAGTGGGATCGAAGGAGGGGGAGAGAGGAGAGGAGAGGAGAGGAGAGGAGAGGAGAAGGACAAATGGAAGGAATGAGAGAGAGAGAGAGCCACAGTGGGTCTCCTTATATAGAGAGTGATGTTATACTACATCTGTGAGGAGGCGAGGACCGAGTTTCTTCTCCAAACTGTTTGTCGTGTCCAGCGTTTTCACTGTGCCCGCTACTCATAAACCTTCCTCTTCAGCCTTTCTGTTTATAGCCACGTCCATGCAACACTCTCAGTGACCATGCAGGGATCTGCACACTCTGCCCCTCAGTCTTTTTCTTTCACAGAAATCAAATGCCATGTCTCAAAGCTAATTTACGACGCCCGTGCTGCCGCTGAGGTGCATAAATAAAGGATTTGCTGAGGAAGCAGAGTGGACGCTACACCCTGCCCTTCAGCTCTTGTTTCTTCAGAGCACCTCGGTTCATGTCTGTGTGTGTGTGTGTGTGGTGGCAGATGGAGCAGTCAGACTGTGGGTACAGAGATGGAGAAAGTTTGGCTGGGCCTGCGACTCATGGCAGACTGGGACGGAGGAGCCACGCATGCAGCCCTTTCTCTTTCACTCCTTTTTCTCTTCTCTTCTCTTCTCTTTCTCTTACTTACTTTCTCACCCTGTCTTTCTCTGTGCAGATTTCCTCAGCAGGAATTTTCCTCTGTCTCAACACACTCATATGTTAATCAGGGATGCTGCATGAGGAGGAACGCCAAGCATGAACTACTCCCCTCCTCTCTTTCCTTCTTTTTACTCAACAGATTTCCACAATAGTTGTTGAAAGGATGCGGTATGGGCCAGGGAAGAACCATTACGTTTTGGTGCGGATCAGGATCAGGGGTCCAATTCAGGATTTTTTTCTTCCACTTTCTTTAACGTTTGTGAGATTCAGCATTTTCTTTGATTCCTCTGAGAATAATTAATGGATTTTGATGAAAAGAATCAGACATGTGTTTGTAATTTGGTGCAGATGCAAATAAAGATCCAGATCTAGTACATTTGAATGTGGTTTCATGAGAGGACTGCTGGGAGAGGTAGCTATATACTCTACTGAGTGGCATTCAAAGAAATTGAATTTTCACATTTTTACATTAAGCAGGAGAAAAAAGGATTTCAGATTGGTGAGGTGCTAATCCTTCTTAATTGATCCCTACCAGGTTGTTTCTATGATTGTCCTCATGTTGTTGACTGTTTATTGGTGAGCCAAAGGTAATTTTCCATATAGGTGTACAATAAAACTCTATACTATTCTACTCTCTGGCTATAGTACAGACCATAGTCCTATCAAGTGCAACAAAACACATTGTGTGATTTTTCAAACATTACAATCCATCATTCTTTTTTCATAAATGTATAAAAGTGATTTAAATTCATGTTATACATTTTAATCAAAAGCATTTCCTGTAGACAATGTTCTATGGTCTCATATACTCTAATAGACACAAGCTGTTTTGCTGCAGCATATGTCTAAAATAAATAGAATGACTAATGAAAGCACAGCTGTGGCATATATATATATATTCCTCCAGAAAAACCTGTTGTATTTTTATTAGCAGCCACGTTAAGGTCAAGCGAGGTGGGTTTATGACCTGAAAATTACCAGTTAGAATCTGGGAGAAAGAGTCTGGGAGCGAACACGTCGACCTCCCGTTGAGTGGTCTCCAGTGGTTGTGACCAGACCCCTGCATTGGCTCCCAGTGGAGCTGTTCAAGAAGAGTGTGGTTTTACTGAGCGGCTCAGATGAACATGCCTCAGCCTAATGAGGAGGAACTGGGGGGGGGGGGTTGAGAAAGTAGAAAGCAACAGCAGAGGATGTTTGTAAGTGCAAATCAAAAAGTTGATCAGGTAGCACATGGGTCAGTGGATATTTCTTTCTCAGACCTGGTGGAAGGCCAAGGATGTTCATCTGCATTTGTTTGATTGTCTGTTTTTTAGCAGGATTATGCACAAAACTACTGAACTGATTTCCAGAAAACGTGGTGTTAGGATGTGGTATGGGCCCGGAAACCACCCGTTGCATAGAAACATTAATGGATCCTGATGAAACATATTCAAGAGTCTGAGCAATATGTTACAGGTCCAAATAAAAATCTGGATCTAGTGAATATGAATGTGGTTTCTTGAGTGGACTGTTGGGCCTTGGTGGAGATATGAACTCAAACAAGTGTCATTTTAGTTCAAATTTTGATGCATGCATGTACACCAGTGTCATTATTGGCCCTGCTACTGAGGGAAAACACATGAACATCTTTATTTTCATTCATTAGCTCCACCAAGGACATCATGTTTGTTTGGTGGTTTGGTTGGTTGGTTTGTTTGCTGGTTTGTCAGCAGAATTACGCAAAAACTACTAATTGGATTTGGTGGGCCTAAAAAGATCCCATCACATTTTTCAGGGGGCAGACCAACCAAGATTTCATAAACATTATAAGATACAGAATTTTTGACATTTTCAACAATTTCTCAGGGGATAACTCACAGATCCTGATAGTGAGGCATATGCAGCTTGAGTGCCATTCTAGTTTTATATAATCCATATATAAAAGGCTCCTGTCTATTTCTCGCAGTAGTCTGATGGAAATGAGCTGAACTGGTCCAACCGAAGGTATCTGGAAGTATTTACAAAGTTTTATAATTACATCAGTGGCTTCGGGCTGCAGTGGAAAATATTCACTGCATAATGTAATGACAGAGAAAGAGGAGAAGAAACGGCTGGACGAGCGCTCACAAAACACGGGCACCAGCACGTTACACCAGAACCAGCTAATACCACACATCTTTAAATAATTACAGGATAGAAGGGCATTTTATATTCCCACTGGCGTTTTTTTTCCTCTGCATGCCTCCTCCAGCAAATGATTAATTTAAGAGCCCAGGAATGTGTGTGTTTCACTGTTTAGTCTTCGGCTTCCCTGGGTTAGCAACCCCTGACCCCAGCAGATCAGCAGAACACCCCTGAAAACCATCAGACATCTGCTTATCTAAACTATACAGAGGATACAAGTACCAGGAGCGGTCGCCTCATTATTCAAACTCCCTCCGTCCTTTTTTCGGCACGTCAGACATCGAGCTCGGCTAAAAAGAGACCCCTTTTTTTTTCGTCAGTGCAGACTCCGACAGGCCGGACAGGCATTTCCTGTGGGTGGGACCTGAGAGCAGAGACATTCTTGGGCCAGGCACCTCCACTTCCTGTCTCTGCTAACATACTGAAAGACACACTGTCTAGACCTGCTCTTTTAGTCTATACTCTTATCCTTAATACATGCAGCAGATTGAGATTACTAATGCATGTAAACCAAGAAATAAGAAGTTCAAGGTTGAAGTATGCAGATAAAGGAAGAGAACAAAGCATGTCTGTTAACCTGGTGTATGAGACATCATCACCATCCCCCTCCCCATTGTACTGTTACTGCTGTACACCTTGATTCTGAACCACCCCCGTGCAAAATGTCCCATCAATCCTGTCTGGGGAATAATTCTGGTAAATGTTTAACAATCAAACTTGTGTGTGGTTGTGTTTGAACTTCTACAGTATCATGAGTCACCGTGAAAGTCAACAGACAGAAACAACTCACAACCCTCAACCCCACTGTTTCTTTATATATTTGCCATCTTATAATTTTGTCACCCTCCATTTGAAGTAAAGAAAGGTTCCCAGGTCTTCTGATTCCTTTGTGTATGTGTGTGTGTGTGTGTGGTTGTATGTGCACCACGGGGTGCTGGAGTTGGTGTGACTATCGACCAACGTCCGCCCGGGGGTCAACAGCTGCACCAAAGTGTTGGTATTTGACAGCTGGAGCAATTTGTGAAGGAGTGTGAGACCTCACTGTGGATGAGGGTGGTGTGTGTGGTGTGTTTGTGTGTGTCTGCCTTCCATCATTCCGAGCTGAGGAGATAGTTTTTACTTTTTCTCATTCCTAAATATCCTGGTCAAATTGACATGAATGCATCATTTCATCAAGTACAACACAGAAGCATTTATTTTATTTTTTTTAAATGATTTTTAGTGCATTTGACCTCAGACCCTTATAAGACAGGTCATCGACATTCTGCAAATAAAGGCATGTTCTCAGATCAGGAAATTAAAGTCATTAATAACTGTATGAGGTTTGATATAATCTGCACCATTTATCTGTCATAAACGTTTCTCCATGTTTGCCTTCATCAAACACCAAAACACTCAGGGGCTTATTTTGTGTCTGTGCTGCATTTGTGTTTTCTTGCTGCCCCCTACTGGCTCTCTCTGATCAACACAACCCCACTCGAGGCAAATTCTCTCAACAGGTTTATTTAATGAGTTCAATCAAAGACAAATAACTTGCTGAAACGTTTCACATTGTGATTACACAACCACATAACTTCTGTGTGTGTTTAAAGGGGAACGGCCTCCAACACCTCATCCGCTTTGGTTCTTGACAAAAACTTAAATTCTCTGTGGTTTTGCAGGGTTCACGTTGCCAGTGTTAATTCATCCCTAAATGTATATTTGTTTAGTTTTTCTCACAGAGGGAATAGAGAAATTCAATCTGCTCGGCATACTCGAATCCTGGCCTGTGGGAAAAGGACAAAACAATTGAGTTACAACTTATTTCCTTTTTATTGAAGAAAAAAATATGGCTCATGTATGAAGATCACAGACTGTATTTAAAGATGAAGATCGAATATATCTGACAAACCTTGAAATTTAAATTCATTGTTAAATACTTTTGATGACTTTTAATGCCTGTTGTGTTTAAATCTGTTTTGTCTCACTGTCAGTTGTCATTTCAGTGATTTGCTGCGACCCTCCTTCTCTCCAATCCCCTCCAGTCTTCATATCAAGAGCCCTGGTCGAGTCCAACTGAGTTGACTCGTCTCATTATATTCAGATCATCAACATCTCTCTTTAATCCTATTTAGTAATATAGACAGATATGTTGTTGTGGTCTTCCACTGCTGTGAGTGACCACATTTATCTCACCGCCCAGGTGTCTCCAGAATCAGGGGGATGTTGTCGAGTCTCGGCTCATTGACGATGTCTCTGAAAGCAGAAACTCCGATGTGACCTTTACCGACGTCTTCATGGCGATCGAGGTTGCAGCCCAGTTTACCTGCATGGAAACAACAAAGACACAGTTTATCATTTTAAATTAGAGGTGGAATTCAGAAAAAAATGATCTCAAGTTTAGCTGCTTTCAGACATGCACTGATGTATGGATATTTTCCAGACATTTTCCAGAGGGGCTGTATGTAAGAATGCAACTGTCTGAGTCTGAGTTTCCCCCTGGTGAAATGTCCGGAAATTATCAAGCAATTGGGCGTGTTGATGAAGTTTCATCACAACACAAATGCAAAACTGGAAGATAACGCAAATATCTCAGGAGAAAAGAGGAGCTATTCACACAGAAGACACTGACAAAGATGTCAACTTGGAATGATAATTACATAAGGCTGAGTCAGTAGCTTCTACTCCAACCATGTTCGATGTGCTATAAACAAAATCTATGTCATGTCCTGTCTCCTGCATTCTCTGCCCAGGAGCCTCCCTTTGCCTGAATGTTCTGAACGCATCTAATTCAGACAATCTACTGCTAAAGGCAAAACACAAAGTTCTTTTTGAAACAGTATCAGATAAATAAAAGTAGTTAACGGTGTTAAAAGCTGCATGTGACTTTGTTTTCTGCCTGCACCTTTAGAGTCATTGAGGTGGATGGCTTTGAGAAAATGGAGCCCCACTTCCTGGTCAAACTCATCGAGCATGGCACTCACTCCTCCCTCTGCTGCCACGTCATATCCTACCGAGATGAGAAGAACAAAACAAACACCACCAGCAGCTATTCACACACTTCTCCACCAGATCAAGCAGCCTCAGTGAAGGTGTGACTTTAAAGAAGATTAATGTTTCGGAAGAATGTACAAGAAGTAATTTGTTTTTAAACGCCCAAAACTTGATATGGTGCACTAATGTTCTTCTTCTGACTTTACCGGACAAAAAGGTGAACCTTACCTGCTGCGAAGGCGTGGCAGGTATCGAGACACACTCCAACTCTGGTCTGGTCTCTCACTTTGTCTATGATGCTTTTCAGCTCCGAGAACTTTCCGCCCAAGGTGCTGCCCTGACCGCTCATGTTCTCCAACACTAGGGGGGGACAAAGGTAAGACCGTCGACCTGCCACAATATACTAGATTGATATGTTTGCACAGCCCTCTTTGCTACTACTTTAGTGTATTTGCAGACATTCCACTGTAACATATACTCTTCATACCAGTGGCATTTAGGGTATGTTATGGTATAAAGACTGTGGTCGGTGCCATGAATCAAATGTAACGCAACAGTGCTGTCAAGCCTGCAGGCAACTAGTTACTTGTTAAGGCAAACAGGTCAATGTGAGGTCAAAATAGTTTTGTATGAGGCAGTGATGGTAAAATATGAATCCTCCTCAAGAGGTACAAAACATATTGAAGCCTCATTTTATTAATTACATGCAAAATGATTTAACCCACAGATAATATTTGTGTGTTCTCTTGCATCATGCAAATTATCAATGAAATGTGGAAATCAGCCCCACTGACTATCTGACCTCATTTTACGTTATGTTATTTTTACGTTTTGAAGTTCCTGTATTTCTTTCTACAGTTTTTTATAAGTAGCTACAAGACCTTTGTTAAAACCGCTAATTTAACTGAATATGGACTGTTATAGTACTCATCTTTGTAATTATGTTTTACAGCAATTCCACCATGTGTTGAAGATCACTCAACAGGCACAAATGTGGCAATTTAATCAGACGTTTTAATACAACAGCCATACAGCCAATCTGAAGCAGCGCATTTGACAGTCAAGAGTTTCCAGATATTATAAGCTTTACCAGTGGGTATTTACTAAGGCTGTTCAATACGGCCAAGAATTATTTCAGAATGAAAATGTTCATATCAGTCCATATGGATAATTATCACTTTAAATGTAACATTATTATTTCTTTTAGATGCAAATACTTTTTTGCTCCTGAGTACAGGTTGCAGTTTTAAATTCTTCTTTATGAGCAGAGATTACAAACATTTTACAAATTTGTTGGATCAATTATATATTATACCTCCTCACTGTGCTTTCACTGCTCTTTCTATTGATCAAATTAAATTGTGACATATATTGATTTAGTTTTATTGCCCAGCCCTAGTATTTACTTTGATGATACTTTATAGTGCTGTGTGCTCTGTTATTTTGTGCACCCCCTGTACCTGTAACCACAGCAGGTGTTTGCTGGTGAGCGTGGTTAATAGCACCGGCTATTTTCTCCACACACTGCTCAGTGGTGATGGAGCCCAGCGAGGATCCGGGGTGGAAGTTGTAGAGGTTGAGTCCCAGGAGGCTGCAGCGGCTGAGCTCCTCCACCAGCAGGGCCTGGCTCTTCTCAAACACATCTGAGGGGGTGAAACACGAACCAGAGGAGGTTGTCAGAGGAGAAGTTGGAGAGAGGGAATAAATAATGCAAAACAAGGGCAGGTAAACAGCGTGAGAAATCCATCACAAACCCTCTTTAGGAGACCCACAGTTCATCAGGTAGGACCCGTGAGGCAGGATGTGAGCTGGGTCGAACCCTTGGAGGGAAACTTGCTCCCGAAACTTGGCTGCAGCTGTCTGGTCCAGGGCAGGCCTCCTCCATGTGCGCTGGGAGCCTAGAAACAGAGCAAAGCTGCTGCCACCAATCTCTGTGCAGGCCTCCACTGCTTTCCATATTCCACCTGAGGACACAGCACAAGAACTATGAGTGTGTATGTGTGTGTGTGTGTGTGTTGAGTGAATACTTGAAGGGGGAGGATGTCATTAGAAATTCAAGATTCCAGAAGATTATTGTTATTCCAAAACATGAGGTACATGAGAGGAAACAAAACTAACTACTAAGGTAAGCAGTGAGCAGCAATGAAGTAGAACACAAGAATCTAAAAACTAAGCAGAAGCAGCAAGTAAATACACTGAGAAATAAAAAAATAGAATCTCAAACTGAAATGAAAACAAAGCAAATTAAAAATGTGCAAATGAGCATTGATAAATTTGAGTATACATGTTACCTTGAATCCCAACATGAGCACCGATGTACTTCTTGGTTCCACGAGTCCTTTCTCCTCTCTGATCGGCCTCCTCTTTTTTCTCCTCTCCTTCCTTCTCTCCTTCCAGATCCTCTTCACTTTTCCTCTTCCTCGCTCCTCTCTTCCTCGGGCCCATGCTGTCAAGAGGAAGGCCGGAGCCGATGGCGGATCAGGGGATCACAGCGGTGTTTTTTCTGATTGAGATTATTATTGGATGTTGTATTTAGGGGGGGTGATGGTCTGCACAGTGAAAAGTTTATGAAGGTCAAGAAGTGTGTGTGTGTGTGTGTGTGTGTGTGCGCACGCTGCATCCCTCTCAGAGGAAGCAGCCAGTCACAGAGCTTCCACGCAGCTGCCACAGGCGGCCCATTGGAGACGCTTCATACTGAGCAGCAAAATGGCCGCCCGTCAACTGACTGACTCCACAGCGCTTTGAAATTCAAATTCTTCTGCACATTCGGGTTTACACCATTACAACGTTAGTACTTATTTACGCACCGGTAGCTCGTTGCGCTTGTGTTTTCCACCACTTACTTGACTTCTCCGCTCGGGCGTCGCTGTTCTCGTAGCCTCGACGAATGCCTCAAAAAGCTAGAAAAGAAAAATTCGCACTGAAGCACTTTAGCTAAGCTAGCGCCGCTAGCTCTTCTTCATATGTGATTCTTAAGGTGAGTAGCCGGACGTGTGCTTGTGTGCTCCTGGGTGTTTGCAATGCCGTCGTGTGTGTATGTGTATGTGTGTGTGCATGTGAAATGACCGCTACACAACTGTTCGTTAATCAAGTGCAAACGCTCGCTATCCAAGCTAACGCCGTTAGCCTGTCAGTAGGTTAGTTAGCTTACCCGGATAGCTAATGTCCGACAGCGTTAGCGCCGATGCTGCAGTATCTGTGGATGTGTATTAGCAGAGCTGTGGATGTACTTGCTAAAAGAACAGCGGTAACCAGGTTAATGTTGTTAACACGTCGATCGTTTGCGTGTTGTTCTGTTTCTCTGCATTTTCGAGTATGGACACTCGTTGATGTTGGCGATCGACGATAAATTTCATCAGCCGCTGCTATCAAAATTGTCGCTTTGCTATTTCCGTTCAGACGCGGATCAGTTTCAGCGACTTTAACCACCACTGGCTCTGTGGGCCTTTTTTGCAATCGTTTGTGGCTTTAGCTCAAGAAAAGTCAGATATTAAAACACCGTGACACCAGCTGGCTATGAACTGTGGTGCTCGCTAACACAACGCTAACACTAGCCAGTGGTCGTGATTTGAAGGGTAGCTGGACAGAGGTGAATGCAGATTTGACAGCTCGTAACAATCGGTACATGTTTCTGATCTGTCAGGCTTTAGGTCAGAAATGTTCAGGTTGGAGGATGTTGGTTTCGTTTCCTTGACGCTGTGAATCCTGCGTCCTGGAAATGCAATGAGCGAAATCCAGCTAAAGACACACACCGACGTTCACAAACATTGTGCTCTCTTAAGCAACACACGATTTACATTTTATTGTGGTGATATGATGATTAATATCCTGTGGGAATTCTGGTTGTTGCCATATCTTGTACTGTTGTCTTAAATAAGTGCATTCCTGGCTGCATTGCATTTGAGTGACAACATTTTCTAAGCCTATTAGTCTGTTAATGCCAAGTGAACAGTGAATGTCTCTGTCAGACATAATGTTAGTATGATTTGCCCAGTCTGCTCTGATCCTTTATTAAGGATCCTAGTGACAGTGCATGATTTGGTGTTCCTGGATTGCACACGTCTTGACTCTCAGCTATCAAAGAGTAGAACCCTGAAGACTTGCTCACACTCCATCTTGAGCTGATATTAGACATGAACTCCAGAAAATGTCCGGAAAATTGGATTTGCCTTTTCACAGATGAAAAAACGCAGCAGGAGATTGACCTGCTCAAATGCTTTCACAACAGCAGGATCATGTCCAGAACAGGACATTGTTAGGGGTGGCACTTGGGGCGAGCATGTAAGAGACAGGACATGGCGTATTCATTCTGTTTTACAACATAACACTGGCGGCAGCCGGAATCACCCAAAGCTGTTGAATCTTGTTGTTTTCAAATCTTGGTCTGCTCTATGTGCTGACTATGTGTATGGCGCTTCTTTTTCAGCCAGAGATGTTTGAATTCTTTTTGTTTTTTAAGTTTTGCATCTGTTGCATATTAGAAACGTCTTAACACACCCAATCGATTGGTTGGATTTTTTTCAGACATCGGCTAAGTTTGACATTTTGTGGAAATTTTACACAGGGGCTGGCTGAAAAAGTTCTAGAAAATGTCCAGAGCAACTCCCTCAGACATTTGTGTTCTCACGTACAGCCTCTCTGGAAATTTTTAGTAAATTGTCTGGAGTTTAGTGGATGTCTGAAAGCAGCTTGGCTGCAACATTCATCTTGTTGTGCACTCGGACAGTGATAGTACCTGGGGTGATTGAGTGTTTTGGGATTTCAACTTCAGACACCCTGGCCCAGGCTACCTGACCAGGAGCTATCAGTTCTGGCCTGTGTCCAAGAAGCATTAGCCCACTGTTTGTCCCTCCTGATCCACAGCCATTGTTAGGATTTAGTTATTTAAGCACAAGCATGGGTCTCAAACCTTCAGCTGACCACATGCAGATCCAGTCAGTCTGCTGGCAAGATGAGCTGGCTGACTAGAGCCGTTTTCAGACATGACTTGTGGGTAAAATCTGGAGCATTGGCTGAGTAGTTTTGCCTTTCACACATGCACAACGCAGCAGGAGGTTCTCTTCTTAACTGCAACAAATCCTCCACATTATTCAGACAAGAGGTGGAGCAGCCGGGTGCAGACAGAGGCAGGAAGCGACGCATTAACTCCACTGAGGAGATCACGTGATTTTCGTGACAACACACAGACACTGTCGTCAGCTCTTATCAACACAAACTCTCTTGACATCTTCGTCTGTGTCTTCTAAGTGTGGGGCTTCGCATTATTTTGTTTTTCATTTTTTACATCTGCAGTTAATCTGCACACTCGCTCGCAGTGAATCCAGCCGGGGTCCTGTGTTCTCCTGAATTTCTATGAGCGTTATACAGGGAGGCCCGGTGGAGAAAAGTCTGCAGAAATTGCGGAGCATCTTACTCTGACATTTGCGTTCACACATGCACCTCCTCCGGAGAAAATACAGAGGAACTGTCGAGTTCAGTGCATGTCTGAAGTCATACCTCTTGTAAACCATCTAAATTTGTTCAACCCACTAGTGATCAGCTTACAGTGTGCTGCATGCTTCTGATCGGGATAATAACTGTTTGTTGCCCACATATCCAAGAGTATTCTTAGCTCCAGCAACAATGATTAATTCAATCAAGCATGCACTCCATTGATGCTAAACCACATAGATGAATGAAGGCTCACATAGCCATATAGCAACTGGGATGTTGTCTTTCCCCTTGATCTTAGCTGCAGTCAACAGGAGCAGTGATGTACCTTGCAGTTAAAATACATTACTTGGACAAAGGAGCACTCAATGATTTTTAAAATGGTGATGGGATCGTCTGATTTTTTTTTATGTCGTCTTTCCTCTCGAAGAAAGGAGTATCAGGACAGGAGCAGTAGTTCATGGAAGACAAGAAAAGGAAAAAAGACGACAAAAGGAAAAGGGAAGCCTCTCAGAAGGTAAGCGTGTTGAGCTGATTGGGTCTGCTCAGTCATACTCTCGGGTCAGCAATATGTACAAAATTGAATAGAGTTTAGTTTGGTCATCCAACAATGTAACAAACCGAATGAGTCAATGCTGTGTTTTCAAATATCAAAACAGAGTAATCCTCTGTGGAACCAAACACGCAGCTGCACCATGTCCAACATATTGATGAAAATCATACTTTTGTTTGGAGTCTTTTGTGGACAATTGTGTGATAATATGTGTAGGTTCTGCTTTTTTGTGTTTTTGTGTAATTTTAAGGAAGAGTTAAAATTATACTGTATTCATATTTTCCGATTTTTGCATCAAAAGAAAGTGGTCCTATGACACTAGTGTAAGAGCTTCGCTTGGATACAAATTCGTGCAATATCTGTCAAAGGTAAATGTAGATGTGTTATTCAAACCTTTTAACTCAGGTAAAATTAATTTTAAACTAAGAGATTGGCATTGTTGCAGTTCATTTTGTTGCCCTATGGTGGTCCATTGTCTTAAACTAATTGGATAGATATAATTCACATCTACATCCTTTATGGCAGATGTTGGTTGGTAATACACACGTGTTATGTTGCGTTTCATCGTAAAATTTAAGAAAAATACACTTTCTTTACAACAGATGTTGACCTTTGTTGAACAAAAATATATGATCTCAATCTGTGATCAGCATTGTTTACCCAGAGTAGTTCTAATCTTTGTGCTTTCATTGTCAGGCAAGCACAAAGTTTCTCATCTAAAGGCACATAGGTCTATTTGTGCACAGGTGTGGGAATTGATCCGGATACAAAGCTTCCATAGCACAAAATAATAAAACACTAAAAGATAAGACAGAGCTCTCTCCTCGCAAGTAGCTGTAAAACACTGCATTTCATTGTCACATGTTATCTGAAGCTATAAAAATTGATGTTCATTACAGTGAGTTTTGTGTTATTGCTAAACGTGACGTCAATCATTTGTGTATTCAGCTGCTCAAATTGTTGTTTTTTTGTGGGAAGGCAGAATGAAGCTTTCTCATATTAAAGAAATCCACATGATTTAAATAAGTTAACAAAAGTTTGAATTGAATATAATTCTGAAACAAGTCATTGACCTGGTAGGTGTTTGAAGTTTCCTAATTTTGATGCGAAGAACACCACGTTTGGAATGCATCTGTTAGTGTTTGCAGAACACGTTTTGGACGTAGCAAGTCTCAACAACTACACCATCTTGAATGTGGGGAATGATATATTTATTATCCTGGCACAGCTAGACTCAAGATTTTTTTCTTTATATAACCACAATCACAGTTTCATTCTTGTAAATCTCATGTTTTCTGCTGTGTCTCAAATTATGTAGTTTTATTAAGGTTTGACATTGACAAGCACAAACAAGCGCTTTATATTTTTGTATTCTTTATATGATTTGTAAACTAATGTGTTCTCCTGTTTATCTTAGGTTGCAGAACAAAAAAACAAAGGTAAGCAGTGCAGTGATATTTGTATGAATGTTTAAATCTGGACGTTTGCTGTTAACCAATGTTCATCCTCTTTCATCTTTCCTATGAAAATTCATGTTTTCAGTTTTATGGTGTTTGTGTTCAAGCAACATTCATGTGCCTAAAGTATCTGCATTAGAGGATTATTGTAGTATCTTGCCTTTGTTTGAATATGTTTACATTTTCAGCAAATTAATTGTTTACTGTTCTCTTAGGATATACTGTTAAATTATGCTTAATTTCCTCTCCTCTCCTTTTCTTTGCCTTGCCCTTCTTGCAGTGCCAGACTTGACCAAGCCGGCGTCTGCCCAGTCTCCTGCCACTCAGAGCAGCTCTGCCTCCCCTAGCCCTGGACCCACCCCCTCTGCCTCCCCATCCCCAGCCACCTCAGGCCCTGGCAGTGCTGCCACCCCATCACAGGGCGGCAACAATGCCAAGCGCCTGGGGGTGGCCAACGGACAGCCCACCTCCACCACCAGTTCTTCCTCCACCGCTGGCGGCCCAGGTGCTGCTGGAAACGGCAGTACAAGTAGCGGAGGCGGAGCCCAGGCGCCTCAGCAGCAACCGCGCTACATGCCGAGAGAAGTGCCCCCGCGATTCCGCTGCCAGCAGGACCATAAAGTGCTACTGAAGAGGGGTCAGCCGCCACTGTCCTCCATGCTGCTGGGAGGGGGAGGAGGAGGAGGGGATGGCCCAAATGCAAACATGGCTGCTGTCTCAGGTGAGTGTGAGGAATCCTGTAGGTCACGTTTAGAACCGATGCAACTGCAATTATTTTAAACATTTTTACCTGTTTGACCTCTAAAGTCTCTCTCCTGGGATTTGCCTTTTCAGACACTGGTGCGGTTGCCTCCTCGTTGGCCCTCACCTCATCATCAGCTGCTGCTTCTACTACTACTTCTAATTATGCAAATTCCATGTGGGGGGCAAGCTCAGGCAGCCAGACCTCCTCTCAGGGCAGGGAGAAGGTGATTGTCGATGGCAACAACCTGGAGGAGTGGCCTAGCATCGCTGGCAGTGATGGGGGATCAGCTTCATTCACCAGGGCTGGAGGCGGCAGCAGCAACAATGGAATGCCTGTGAACAGCATCAGTGCCTCTGGCAACCATTCCTCACCCACTTCCTCATTCTCTTTGCCCAATGAATGTATGCAGTCGTCCAATGGTGTGGCATGGGGGACGGCTGCCTCCCAGGGTCATCTTGGAGGAGGGAGTGCAGTAGCTACAGCTGGGCCACTGCTACAACAGCCCTCCTCAATTTCCAAAGCCTCCACTGTGCCAGGGAGCCATGAAACCAGTGGCCCCGTTGATGGAAGCAGTGGGATTCCAGGTGCCAACTTCAATCCAAATGCCAACCCTTCGGCCTGGCCTGCCCTTGTGCAGCAGGATGGGCCCGCTGCTGCAGGGGAAGGAGGTCCGTCTTCCTTCCATCACCAGGGACCTGGAGGGTCTTTGTCTGCCAACAACTCTGCTTCCCTGGGGCCGGGAGGCGGGGCAGTCGGGGTGCTGGGGGGTCACCCACCTTTATCTGTGAATCAATCAAGCACCCATCAGCACCAACTTCACCAAATGCAATCCAGAGACAGAGAGATGGGAGGGGGGAAGTGGGACAGCGAATCAGCGGGACCAAAAATCGCAGGTGGGGAAGGGATTGGGGGAGGAATGGACCGTGGTGTGGGAGGATGCGGAATGAGTGTGGGAGACCACAACATTGCCTCCTCATGGAGAGGCCAGCCTTCTTACCCTGCAGCTAACTCCAAAACGGGTGCCTCAAGGACTGATGGATGGGAGGGTGGAGGTGGTGGCACAGGGGGATTCGGAGCTGCCGAAGGTGATAATGGGACCTCAGGTTGGGGTTATTCAAGTTCCAGTAGTGGGGTTAATGCTTGGGGTAGTGCTGGAACTGGAGGAAACGGTAGTCAAACCTCTGGGGTTTCTCAGGGAGGGTGGGGGTCATCAGGAGGAGGAGGGGAGAGAGGAGTTTCTGGTGGTGATTGGGGTGGGAGCTCCACTGGTATTGGGGGAGCTAATCCAGTAGGTGAGGGAGTGAGTGAAGCCTGCAGCAGTAACAGCAGCAGTAGTGGGGGTAGCACAGCTGGCAACCCCCCTGCCACCTCGTCGTCCTCCTCAACGGCCACCACTTTGACCAGAGCCTGGGACAATCAGAAGGGAGAGGGTGAAACAGGGGAATGGGGCGGGGGAGTAGGAGGACAGGGAGCACGGGGAGGATCTTCATCCAGCGGCGGAAACTCCAGAAATGGGAGCGGACCTAACAGCCGTTACAATTGTCCTCGCCATCAGGCACCTAATGCTGAAGCTGCCTTACAGAATCTTCTAAGTCGGACTGATCTGGATCCACGGGTTCTATCCAACACAGGCTGGGGCCAAACACAGATCCGACAAAACACATCCTGGGATGTCGAAGAACAGGGAAGACAGAATAAAGGTGGATTGTCATCAGCTTCATCAAAACATCCATTTTCACATGGTAGTAATTCTCAGTTTTCTGGTGGACAAAGGACCCTAATCACTGAATCAGTTGGTCCAGGGGTCAATCCTTCCTTGGTTCCATCTGCCGGGTCCTCTGGAGAGGGTTGGGAGAGCAGCAGTAACAGTAGCAGTAGTGGGGCCTCTCTGTCTGGGAGAGCCCCACCACCTTCAGGCCCCAACTTGAGGAATCTTGGCGTCTCACAATCTGGGCCAGTGACCACAGCAGGCTCGGGTATGGGGTCAGGGGTAATACCAGGACATAACCAGCAGGGGAAGACTACAGGCTGGGGTGGAGAAGGGATGGGGGCTGGGGATGGCAAAGAGGCCAAAGGCTGGGGAAATGAGGAATGGAGAGACAGTAATAGAGGAGGAAATGGAGCAGGATGGGGTGATATTGGGCAACAGGGTGAGCCAGTGAGTGGAGGCTGGGGAGGAAATCGGGAGGAGAAAGGGGCAGGGGGTTGGAAAGACATGGGTGGGAATGGAGGAGGAAGTGGGTGGGGATCAGGACAGAAGGTTGGGGCAGGAAGGGACTGGGGTGAGCAAGAGTCCAAATCAAACAGTGGAGGAGGAGGAGGATGGGAGGATGAGAGGAAGAATGCAGGAGGAAACTCAGGTGGGGATACAGGTGGGGGTGGTTGGGGAAGCTGGGATGATAATGCTCCTCGGAGAACCTGGGGAGCAGGGGGCACAGGAGGAGGAGGCAGTGGAGGAGGGGGTATGGGTGTTGTTGGGGGTATGGGGTCCAAACCCAATCAAAATTGGAGTGGAGGAAACAAGATGCACCAGATGCCAAACAGCCAGTTGGGCTCCATCACAGGCCCTCAGGCACAACTGCAACAGCAACAATCACAGTCCCGCAATCAGCATCCACAGCTGCAGCAAGCATTGGACCAAGGGGCTATGCAAGGGGGTGGGGGAAGGAAACCCGTATCTCAAGCCCAGAATCAGAACCAAAGCTCAGGCTGGACCTCAGGGCCCATCCCTGGTGGTTCCGCAGTAGGTGGAAGTGGGTCTGAACCGAGTGGCTGGGAGGAACCCTCGCCACAGTCCATAAGCAGGAAGAATGAGATTGATGATGGAACATCAGCATGGGGTGACCCAACCCATTGCAACTACAAGCCAGTCAACTTGTGGGATAAGAACAGTGCCCCTGCTGGCCAGCAGCCGCATGTACAAAGTCAGGCCCAGCAGCAGCAGCAGCAGCAACAACAACAACAACAACAACAACAGCAGCAGCAACAACAACAGCAGCAGCAGGGGCCTCCAATACAGCAGCAGTCTAGTAGGCAGGCTCCAGGACTCGGAGGTAACAGAGACTTCAACACTGGCCATGGACCTGCAAAAGCTTCACCTATGGGTAAAAATTTAGAAACTATAGCCCTTTGTTATGAATTGTTTAAACCTCTGCATCAC